AACTAAGCCCGTATATTCGAACGTCGATGTTTCAAAATATTCGACCTTGAATATTCTTATAAAACCATTTTTTCGAAAACTCAACAATTCAAAATTTTTTAAAAATGCTCGCGTTTGGATATTCGAACTATTCAAAATGGTCATATTTTATTGGCATATTCGGTCTCGTATTTAGGTGTGCTCTGCGGTACAAAACCAGGATTACACTGTTGTTGAGGATTACTGTACGGGTCTTAGGGCACTCCTCTATTTGAAAGCAGCTCAGTCTTTGGGAAACTGGGATGGACAAAGCCCGCCCGTCGAAAAGCACCAAAAAGGAAAACCTCTGCTTGTCAAGAATACGGCACGTAGCATTTGTAGATTGATAACTAGGAAATCTCTTTAAAAAACTATGTTTAAAGGGTCTACCTAATTTTGGAAACTATCGCAATGATCGTGCTAAACTGGAAGAAAGCACATTTAAAAAAGGTACTCCTGTGTCGATAACTGGAGAGTTTGCGACACGTCCAGATTTGAGTGTAGGAGATATCCCATCAGTCCAGGTAGGCTTTCGAGATTATAGAATCTCAACATTTATAAATCCAACCCAACAGTTTTCCACTGACTATTCTTTTTCGCTCATTTTAGTCCTTCCAAAAAATCCGGAAAAAAGTCGGAATCTTTTCAATGTTACGCCTTCTGGTGCAACACCCGTATATTTCAGGACGTTATTGGCAATGCTCTCCCTCGAATTGGTCCCTATGTCACTCTGGACAATAAACAACAGAAAGTTGCTCTCATCGACGATGTAAGCTCACTCACAATACATTAGGTTACTTGCACAAGTATATCAAGGATTTAGGATATGTGTATTAATTGCGGAAAATGCTACATGACTTGCAACGATTCCGGCTATCAAGCCATATCGTTCAGCGGGCAAACCCATCAGCCAAAAGTCAACGAAGATGATTGCACTGGGTGTACACTCTGCTACAGGTAATGCTATTGATTTTGTAACTCTAGGCAAGAGATTAAACACCTTATTGAATGGTAATTGTATTTCAGTGTTTGCCCGATCCCAGAATGTATTCAAATGGTGCCGAGGACAGGACCATGGAAAGCGCCAAAGCGTGGTGTTACGCCTCAATTTGAACCGGGAACTCCAAAAGTTGTAAAAGTCAACGAACGGGGAGAAGTGATTGATGCCAATTGAGGCCACTTGTTGTTTTTTTTTTGTGAATAAAAATTTTCTTCACTTCTCTTTAATGTGAAATACTTGGCGACAAATTTGCTGTGTTGGGAACACTCCATGACTAATTGTTTCATTGAGTTCGAGGAATGT